ACGCATTTATATGAAATTCACTTTTAATATAATTGAATTTTAGATTTCCCAGCTGACGAGTCCCAAATAGGACGAAATGCGCATCCTGGATTCCACTGCTAGTCACCATCCACAAATTTAATTTTACTTCTAATAGTTTGAAAAATCTTCGTCACTAGTCAGTTAGTATATGATAATCATTATTATAAAAGTCTTTGTATTTCCCAGTGAATGAGTAAATGAATGAATGAATGGACGAAAAAGAACAAAAGGAGATATTATCGTTTTTACTGACATCTGGTTATTTAATGCTGCTGCTAATAGCGCCTGTATCAAAGTATTATTACACGAGAATTTAAAGATCAGGCTGAAAAAAAGTTTATTTCGACTCTATTGAAGAAATAAATCATCCAGAAGAATTACAAAAATTACAAAGAATTTTTCATATTATCAGAAGCACTTCATATGAAATGGGATCTATATTGTCTGGAATAGGAATGATGGAATAAGGCGACAGGATTTGACCTGGCTCCACCACCACCACCACTGACCAAGAAGTAACATAATCAACACGAATGCGTGATGAGCAGTTTCATAATGTAAACAAACACACATGCTGCTTTTATAATTTCCTACACTTATGCAATCAAACAATCTATACATGGTTTTATTATCCTTACAGTAACTTGGCAACATAAAAATTACCTAACACTGAAGAAGGATGATTAAGTTGTTATACCCCACCAGCTGAGGATTTGAATATTCAGGTTGAATAATACTTTGAAAAAGCTATTAAACTATGCAATCAGGCTGTCACATCTCACCCGCGTACATAAATCTGAACTTCATGACTAATATAGACATTTTTCCGTTCTGACACCACCTCCCTCTTTCTGTTAGTTTTCAATTGTGGGACTCCTAGATGTTACTATATGCGTATGTGTGTGTACCTTCTGTCTATGATACCATTCTCAAATAAATTAAATCTCATTAAATTGATATCACACATACGTATATATATATATGCGTGACTCTCAAGTCTTTCTGGTTTTTCCATTTTGAGTTTTGTCTTCCTACTGCAATATGTAGTGCTAAGTGGTAAGATCAGCTTGAACACTATTCTGTGTGCTATTCTGATTACTGCTATTATCATTGTAATGATTTGGTGAGATTTTAATAAAAATGATTCATGGAATGTGTGTGTGTATACGTCTTAGAAAAGGAGTGTAAAACTATATGTTCATGAGATTAATGGCAGGCGAATAACCAGGTGTGTGTGTGTGTGTTTATATTCATTCCCTATTTCTACCTCGGCCTTATTTATTTATTTATTCATTTGAATTGCTAGTGTTTCAGCTACTACTTCTACGTGTAAACGTCTTGATCTCATCCCTCTTTTGAAAAAGTTTGATGTGATCACATTAACATATAAGCATAGAATAATACACCAGTTGATTTGCTCCTGTTGTAGAGTTGAGTGAGTACATTGGCTGGCTGTACCAAGTGTCCGTTTGTATCCCGCCTGGCTAGCGAAATGGGAGAATATGTAGGTGCATATTGACACTTATTGGCGTTTATCTACTTATTCATCGACGAAGTTAAAGTAGCATAGCCTCAAAAGTGAAGGTCTTTCAAAAGTTGACCACCTTCAAAGGTCAGTCAGATGCAGTGATTGCTATGAAAGGTTATTCCAAATTGAATTATGCTTGGCTTTTTGGACTTGGAGAGGGTAGACACGGCATACTACTTATTCTCTAGATACTTTCTCTGCAAATCTATACTGTTAGTTAGGGTTATGGCTTTTAAAAGCAAGGTTTATGGTGTCGAGTCAAGGTTATAACTGGGTCAAAGTTCGGATTAGGAGTTGGGATTATTGTCAGGGTTAGGAGGTGGTAGGTTAAAGAACAGTGTCTCAATGGACAATGGATCGCAATGTGTCATGGCTGCCCTACATTCATTCACCTGGGTGAATGCATCTATCGAGATTGGTATGATCAGATCAGATCACAGATCATCTGTGCAGTGAATGAAAGACATTCTTACAACACATAAACGACAATAACATGTTGTAATGTCACTTTTGCAGTACTTTTTTTTCTTTAGTGCATTTTTCAACGACGATTCAACCGTTTTTGTATCTGAATTCTGATGATCGATTGGCTGCTCAAAGTCATTGGAGTTTTGGCTATGATATTTTAACTTTGCCTATTTTATCGATTTGTTGTTTACACTCCACCTCTTATTATTTTTCAATAGCTATTTTATTACTCAGAACACTTTGAATGAACCATTTCTCCGATATAAAACTATAAACTACTGACTGGTGATTGAGATGAGTTGTAATAGTAGTAGTAGTAGTAGTAGGTAGTTGCATTACTACTCATATGGACCGAGCAGTACTCACTAGCCATCCCAGCTGGATCGATATGATCTAAACACTGGATGGCAGTCTCGCTCATTTTAGACCGCACTCGTCAGTGGCGGTGTACCTACCCTGCCCCGTTTGACTCAATGGTATACAGCTACTCATCTCAATCAATCAGTAGTGTGTTAGTTTGCTCGCCTTCCCCTGGGATTACCATTCATGCATACTACCAGACAGCCACCACACATATTTTGATCGGAATAACTTGGTCTCCACTTGAAATGTGTGTAAAAATTGCAAACTGCGAATTTCCCGACATACCATGTCACTTGTCGCCTTTTCTGCTTTTGTCTTACTTATTTGATCCAATAAATATCATTTGATCTTTGAAATGTTGTTCTTGTTGTTGTTTTCGTCTCATCAGAACTGTTGTCACCACCTTGCTTTTGTTGCTACACAATGCTTTATTTGCCCCTACTGCTATTACTAATCTGAATAATTCTACACACCTTTCTACTAGTCATGCATTCATTATTCTGTGGGGGTATTTATTCTATGTTATTATTACATGAGCTATTTTGTTATCACACACACACACAGTATGATGTTTGATAATCATTGTCATCACAAATGTATGTATGGTGATAGCAGGCTCCTAACCAATTGGTAGACATTAATTTACGTCAATGTCTATGTCGCTAATATTGGCCGTGAGAAAATATGAACAAGACTGATTCAACAACCAATCACAGCAGGCTTAACGTGGGCAAATACCATTCGCAGATATATGGCTTGACTTTCTGAGAAACCAGTCACAAGCAGTACAGAATAACCTTGAGCAAGAAACAACCAATCAGGAGACTGTGTTTGTCTGCTTGAATAAGCTATAATAATGTACATGAAATATATATAAATACGTGCTGATTTCCTTAATAAACGATCTGTTGCCTGGCTGGCCCTTGTCTTCTGTTGTTTCATGTGTATTTATGTATTTATATATTTTTGAGGCAATTCACATTACTGTCTGTTTATTGTAATTAAAGTTGACAATGACTGCTGGAGGAACAGCAGTTGATTATTGAGTGGTGGTGGTGGTGTTGGTGGTGATTATGCCACAGGATGAGATGTAAGCACGTTTTTGCGAGCAACTAACTAACTAACTGTGACCAACCAACTGACCGACTAACACTACTTAATAATGTAAGTATACTGAGTTTCGGTTGTATGTCTGAAGGTTCTCATTACATCTTCCTGTCTATCTGTCTGTCTGTCTCTCTCTCTTTGTCACCTCCCCATTCCATTTGTGTGGTTGTGTAGGCTTTGGTTCTATCATCATCCTTTCGATGATGATATCAGGTAAGAGATAATGTTAAGTGAACCAAATGATGATGTATAGAGTGGGACATGTCACATGTGTGTATGATGAGATTGTACAAAGAAGGTGTCAGTCTGGATATTTCCTCTTACACCTGGTGTTCTTGGCTAGGTGGATATTTATCCATTAATCATACACATCATTTTTTCTGTCAGCATACTTACGCTTAGTCTTCTTATCCGGATACTGCTTAATATGCTCCTCATGTGATGTGCAGGGTTGCATGTTTTGGCTTAAATACAGCCGGGTAGGGGAAATAGGTAACCAGCTGTACTATTGTAACAACAGAAGACAAGGACCAGCCAGGCAACAGATCGTTTATTATGGAAATCAACACATATTTATAGATTTTCATGTACATTATTATAGATTATTGTTATCAGAAAAACACAGTCTTCTGATTGGTTGTTTCTCACAGAAAGTTAACCTTGCATCTCTTTGTGGCTGTTTCTTGAATGTCAGATCATCTATATGTTAATTGTACCCGCCTTTGTTCTCATTCTTCTCACGACCAATATTGGGGACATTAACATTGACGTAAATTACTGTCTACCAATTTTGGCTGGCAGCTAGCTCTCACCACACTATAATGGTTGTTGGCGTTAGTCAAGCGGTCAGCGCTTCTGTGTCCCAGCATCAGTGTTCCTATTCTATTGAACTCAGCGTATTGCGAACTATAAGGCCAAATTTATTCTATTTTCCGAATTGGAAGTTACGGATTAATCTGCAATTTCGAAATTCGATAATGCTAGTTTGTTGAAGAAAGTAGCTAACCAGAATTTGGTTGATTTGAACTGATGTGGGTGGACGCCTCCCTGAACTGAATGGAGCGCTGCTTCCCGAAAACCACCTAAACGACCTTCTGTGTTGTTTCGATCTGGCTGGCTGGTTAGCAAGCATTACTTGTCGATTTGGTGTCCAACTGCTCATACCCATCAATCAGTAGTATATAATGTCATGTTTTTGTTTTGTTTTTATTGTAAAGTAAGCTTTGTAGTCATTGTAAGTGGAGAGTTTCAGAAGTGATGCGAGGGGTTGCTGTGTGATGAACCGTCGTTAATTAACCACGAAGTCTGTTTCGCTATACACCCAACCTCTTGCTGTTCCATTTTATGTGTTTAGCTGTGAATATATATATATATATATATATATAGTTATATTCTGTACGTTGTCTAACTTTGCGTCTGTGTGTGCGTTTCCTTTTCATTCCCAATCCATTCAACTAGATGCTACCTGTGTTCAAATAAAAAATATCCCCTTCGGTCTTCATGTCTGCGTCATATGACCCTTGTGCGTGAACTTGGAACATCAGAACTGGATTGGAATCGTATGAATGAAACAAATTATGGTAAGGAAGTGAGAATTCTTCTTTTTCTTCTTTTGTTTTTATGTTTCTTTCATTAATGTGTATTTTGTAAGCTGAAATACTCTGTTGACGACGACTGTGTGACAAGCTTTGAGATAGCTGCTTGAACTCTCTTCCTTCCTTCCTTCGCCAGTTGACGGTTAACAACATGTTATGTGATAACTAACATGCACTTCTACTGTGGACGACAGACGATTTAGTTAATGATGGTAGCCTCTTTGACATCGACTTAGTCTGTTTAGTTGATGTATCACTTTAAAAGATGCTTTTATTGATGATATATAGACTCATTGATGACAACGTTTCAACGTGTACAAATTTGCACTGAAAAGTGTTGTAGGTAGGAGTCAAAATAGTCACACTCCTCCGTTTAGCACAGAAACGAGAGTGAAAAGAAGAGGAATTTAGAAGTCTACCATAATAAGTGGAAAATTCGGGGGAGAAAGAATAGTAACATGGAACAACAACAAAAGGGTTTTTAGATATTTAGATATGAGAGACCATATAGAGTGAATTGAATTCATCTGTGCCACTGAGAACAGTATTAAGCCACGTGTCAGCAAAAGTCTCCAGTCAATGATTATATTTCACTACAATAAAGGAGGGATGGAGTGAACTGTGGTACGCGCAGAGTATATACATCCTTTGATCGATAGCTAACTGGATATATCACATCTAGGCGATAGATGACTTTTAATTCAGTGACCCCCACCACACACACACACACTCAAGCCTTTTGTATCTGTGTTGAGGTCAACCCATTGGAGGTGATGTGTAACTTCCAAATAAGTGAAGCATGAATGCAATGAATAAAAGGTGCTCAAGAACTGAGTCATCAATGAGTCAACCTAATTCCTCCTTTCGACAACTATATTGAGAGTTTAGTTAGAGGATTTCATCATGAGGTGACATTAGATAGAGAGCCATTGGAAAAGCCGCTGGGAGTACTGGACAGTTGTTTCGTCCTAGCAGTACGCGCCCACCGGGATTCGAAGCCCAGGACCTTCTGGTTACAAGGCTAGCGAGCTCGTATACCATTAAGCCACTGGGCCCACAACACAAACCAACACTTGAATATCAGTGAGATGCTCACTAGGGACTTTCCCTATTCAGGTAGGTAGGTAGTTACCTGGGGTTTTAGTGAGAAGTCGTGACCAGTAGGGTGCAGCAGGTCGTGAATTGGCAGAAGTTAGAACTCATTGGCTGACCATTGGATCGGGTTCCAGTGGCTTAATAGTCTACGAGCTCGCTAGCCTTGTAAAGAGGAAGTCCTGGGTTTGAACTCCTGCGGCGGGTGCGTACTGATGAAGAGTCTCAAACCAGGACGAAACAGCTCTCTGGCAGTACTCCTCAAGCTGGTTTTCCAATGGTTCTCTAACCAATGTCAGCTCATGATGAAATCCTGTAACCAATCAACCAAATCCTTACAAACCAACACTTGAGTATATTGAGAGATGCTGTTGTACATGTCTAGACCATATCACACTTGTACATGTACACTGATTTTATTCCTATTTTGTTTAAATTCAGTTACGCTGACTAAGTCATCAATGTACACCAGGTTATATGAGCTTGATGTGAGAGAAGGCTGATAATACTATTACTACTGCTACTACTACCACTACCCAGTGGTGTCCAATCTCTGCAGTAGGTCGACGGGGATTTGAACCTTGTGATCCTCCCGCCTGACTGACTGACTGAAAGCAGCGTAGCGCAGTGCTGAGAGTGGTGTGGTCAATTAGCCATCCATCTACTTTATTTGCTGCAATACTACTTCAATATAGAATTGACTAGTTTACCTGAACTGATGGATTGATCTTGCCTAGAAAGACAATGAAAGCTATGCAATTAAATCAATCCAATATGAGAGAACTCATCAACTCAACACTACACCAATTATACCATCCTATTTTTGTGGATTCATCAGTTGGTTTTGTACTTAACTAGACTGTTGAATGTGTGGAATGTTGGGTAACTGTAGGGTAATTGTAGTAAAATAAATAAATATCCAGTAATCTAATTGAATTTTTAGATTTTCCCGTCGGTTGATTGATTGATTGGACCGAAGTGCTCGATCTCAGGTTGACATGTCGGCTTCTTGTGCAGATGCTTCGAGCATCGGTGGGAACATCATCAGTAACTGAGAAATGCAGGTACATCCAGCTAGTTGATGAGTCCCAAATAGAACCAAATGCGTATCCTGACTGGATGCCTCTGCTAGTCACCACCATCGGCAAATTAAATACCCAGTGATCTGTTTGCTTAATAATAGTAATAGTAGTGGCGTGAAATGAAAGTGACCAAAAGTGGTTGTATTTATTGTGTGTGCTGAACTCTAACTTGCATCATGATTTGACACTTAATGTTGTTTCCTAAAAAAATGAACTCACACACATATTCGTAAAAGTGATGATTAAATTATTTTAGTGATATTGAAAATCTCTGCACTATATGCGTAAATGACTTCACTGTGTTGTTGTTGTGGGATTTTGATTCAATCATCATTGCCTCATAGATAGTCGTTTGAATTTTAAAACTGTAGACTTCAGGGCAAAATGCGTGTTGTAGCTGTACGCGAATTTGTGAGCTTAATTCAATCAGACGACGCTGCATAATCCACCATATCGAATAAATGAGTGAATTACACAGAAGAGACTTTAAGTTCAGTGTGTTGCGAAATCAGATTTCTGCAACAGTAGGATGGTGATGTGGGTCTGAACCTGAATATTCGTTGGCATGTAGAAGGAGGAAGAGGTGGAGGTGGGTGTGGAAGAGCAGTAGGACATCGACTCCTTCAAGATCTTGCCAAAACAAAAAGACGACGTGATTTATCTGAAACGTGTAATGTATTTGCGTAACACATCTCAGAGATTCTAATCGCACACACACATACACACACACACACGAGTACTTGTCATACACATATATTATATAGAAGGCAACAGAGCATAATTAGTGATAATATGTGTCAAACTGTGTACGAGTCAAGGTCATAAGTGAGAGGTAGGAAGAGGGTGAAAACAGTGTTAAGCAAGTTGAACCTTGGTTCTAAATTGGATTACCAAGGTAGATTCAGAGTGATAACGAGTAATTTTTGGACACATAAAACAGGTCTTCATCGAATTTGTTTTAAATATGACTTTGAAGCATTATTGAAGTGAACCTAGGGACTCGTCTCTATGATGATGATGTGCTTCGCGATAGATGATGTTGGACATCTGTTTCCAGAATCACTTGTATCCGGTGATTTTATTCGTCGTTGCAACCACTTTGGAATATGTTCTGTAGCCCTAACCTACAGAGACCGATGGGTTCTCCCTATGTACATGTGACCACACATACATGTAAATTGGTAAACACGGTGGGATGTGACACTACCGGTCGGATGATTTGATGGTTTAGAGAACAGGATAAATCTCGTTTTCTTTATGAAAATAAGTTTAACTGCTGCATAGCAAGTTCTATTAATAACCACCCTAAGTGTTTTTTTAGTGACTATTAAACCTTGATGATCGATGACCCTTGAATGGTAGAGATATATAAACATTCCTTTTAGATACTGTCTCACTTCCATGTAGACCTTCTGTAGACATATCGTCTTATTGATCCATCTTATCGACTAGCTATGAGTGCATCTCAGAATGACAAGTGATCTGCATTCTTTTTCACGTGTGTTAACGATATACTGTTCTGTATTGTATTTATCCGGTTAAGGGTTTTGTATGTCACATCTGTCAGTTTGTTACAAATGACTAACTATTATGTCATCTACGCATCTTTTATAGAAGGGATAAACCTTTCCAATTAAATCCTCAACTAGCTTGTCAACATCTGGAAAATATATATATATATATATCGGCTAACAATGGGCAATACCACCATTCAAGATCTTCAGTCGTATACGACAACGAGTGCTAATAAACACGACACCTGAGTGTTTATGGAAGAAGACTTCCATACAGCTGACACTAATCCCCTCCAGTAGTATTTTACTCTACAGTGTTCTACTCGTTCACAATTGAAGTTGTCATTATAGTCTCAGTATGGAAGAATTCTATACCCATTCAAGCAAGCTCTGTGTGTCTTTATGTGTGTGTGTATGTGTATGTGATCCTTTCCTGTGTATGCTTCACATCCATTTTCTGCCTAATAGTTTATGCGACACACGCACTTATTACACTGATCTGTTATTACTACTACTCCAGTGTGTAAAGCATAAGTCACTTTGACTGAGTTAGTTAATTAACTAAGCCACAAGAAAATAAGTAAATGAAAACCAAATTGGTTCTTGAAAATGACTCTGATGCTCTCTAGTTGCCTGATGGAATTCAAATGAGAGAAGTCATCTGACCAATGAGGCCTACCCGGTTGTTGGAAGTGTTTGGACAAATACTCACCAACGTTGACATTAGCTAGCTGGTGCACCTAGTCAGTCAGTCAGTCGCGCTAAAATCACGAATTGGTAGAAATCAGTATTCATGGGTAGTTGGCCATTGAGTGTGTTGGGTCTACAAGTTTGCCTTGTGACCGGAAGGTCTTGGGCTCTAACCCTGGCAGTGCAGTTGGGTGCATACTGCCGATGAGTAGTCCCAGACTAGGCTGACGAAACATCTGTGTCCAGTACCAGTACTCCTGATTGGTTTCCAATGGCTCTTTCTGTAAGTGATATCAGTCGGTGAATGTTAATCTTGAGAGGAGCATGAATGATGGAGGAGGAGGAGGAGTATGTTGTTGCAGTCGGAACACTTCTGTATTTAATTAATCAAATAATTAATTTTTCTTTGTTTGTTTATTTGTTAATTTTTCAACACAGTCGCATGTTCTACTCTAGCTGGATCTAAAAACAATAATCCTAATTTGTTGCCGTTGTTGAATAATAATACCCCAACTACTATTGCATCCGCTTCAACAGCACCACCACCGACGACGACGACGTCATCATCATTGTCGTCGATGTGTGGATCAGGTGAATCTGCTCGTGAAGAGAATGTCAACAACAACATCAGCGGCGGTGGAGGCGGCGGTAATCGTGGTGGTGGTCTTGTCCTAAAGATATTCCGTTGTAAACTTTGTCATAAGTTTTATAAGTCACGACGTAGTTTATTAAGACATCAAATTTCACATCATGAACAGTCGGATAGTCAGGCAGGGGCAGACGGGCAAACTGAGTGTTGATTGGTTGATTGTCACATTGACTCATACGTCTTTCTCCATTGTATGTCTATTACTGTCTTATGCACAGTTATGTATACATTACATATATATGTATATAATATACAGTTTGTACAGACACACAGACATAAATGTATGCGTTTATTTTCACGATGCATTTGTTATATATTCATAGTTTTTTAACGATTATAATTGTACATATACAGGAACCCGAAATTCAGATTTGTTCATTATTATTATTATTACTCATTGGGTAGATTTCAATTATAAAATTTGAATAAAGCGTTAATGTTGTTGTTGCTTTTGTTAGTATTGACTTCAACGTGGTCTCTTCTAAAAGAGAGACAAAGTGGTAAGAAATAGTGAACGGTGGAAAACCGGTATTGGTTGAAAAGTCTCTGATTCATGCATGCATGCACGTTCTTTCATTTATTCAGATTACAGGTTAATTTCAACATGGATGATTTCTTCACAATCTGACAACATTTAGAAAGAATCGCTAGAAGGCCTACAAAACAAAGCATAGATGACTAGCCTTTAGGACAGTTCACTAACAATAAATAATTTGATGACCTGACCAAAAATCAGCTCCACGATCTTGGAGATAATTCAGAGGTTGGGTTGTTGATCATTCTGCAATCAGTAGGTGTAAATTTTATTGACTCATGAATTCATAACTTTTGTCTATTCGAAATGTAGTGCTCGGTGGTGGTTGCCTTAATTTACTTAAACGCATAAAAACTTGGTACAATATGGCACCAAGAAGGATGCGCCATACAATAATAATAAAACAACATAGATCAAAAGAAAGAAAGGGAAAAAATATATAAGTAGAGAACGGGTAAAGAACTTCATCCGGAAGGAAAACAGTCATGCTTAACAAGTTCAAACAGTATTCGTTAACTATCATCTGGAAGGAAAGAAGAAGGAAATTGCAACACGTTCGCCATTGATTACGATTCTTGGCCATATCCGATAACGTTTCGAGCCATCGATTTGAGCTTCCCTCGGACCCCAACCAGGGAGTCGTGACACACTAACTGATGCTAATCTAGCACAAAAATCCTTCATCCCACGACGCCACGTCATGGACTGACCACCTCTCCGCCTTTTCCATCCCGTCCCAGGGCTGGCCAGCGAACAGAGACCTGTACGGAAGCCTCTGGGATGACATTCGCAACACATGTCCAAGCCACCGGAGCCGGTGTTTCCAGATGACGACACTCAATGAGTGGTGATCTCCACTGTGTTCAAACACACGCCGCCGAACCTCAGAATTACTCACGCGATGATGCCATCCATCGAACGCAAGCAATCCTGCGGAGACAGCGATGATCGAACACGCAGAGTCGCCGCACATCCTCAGCCTACTCGGAGAGGCCAGGTTTCACAGGCGTAGAGCAGGGCAGCCCGCACCGAAGCATTGTATACCCAACCTTTGACAGCTAGGCTAAGATCGTGACGGCGCCTTAGGTGGCTCAAGTTGATATATGCCACCCTAACCTTAATTACACGGTTGGAAATCTCCGCCAGCACTCACAAAACTACCCAGGTACACAAACTTATCAACACCTTCAAGCGGTTCACCCGCAAGAGTGAGTGCAGGCACAGGCTACTGCCAATCTTGTAACAGTACTTTGCACTTAGAACGCGCAAACCACATACCATACTTACAGACACTGATCGCCAACTGATTAAGTGCGACTTGGGCAGCCTGCATGCCATCCCACAGTAAGACGATATCGTCTGCACACTCGACGTCGATAAGTCTGTCTCCAGGTAGCAGATCTACACCACCTTCACGCACATCCTTCAGAGCTGACTCCAGAATGTCGTCGATGGCAAAGTCAAAGGAGAAATGGAGAGATTGGGCAACCCTGTCTAACCCCACTGTTGGTTGGGAACAGTGATGATAGTTGGTTGTATGCCCTCACTCTACCCGAGGTGTTTCTGTATAGGGCTTTCAAGATGTTAACAAATTTCTCAAGTACACCTCTCTCTAACAGATGGTTCTAGAGCACAGTTCTGTCCAACGAATCGAAGGCAGCCCTAATATCAAGAAACACATCGTGTGGCGGTGTTCCAACAACTGACGAAGGGTGAACACATGATCAATGCATCCACAACCTGAACGAAACCCAGCCTGCTCTTCGCGAATCAATCCCTCACGTATTTTGCACAGCCTGTGAAGTGAAGCAAGACAGCAGCCAATATTTTAGACGCGACTGGTACCAGATTGATACCCCTATGATTGTCACGCGAATTACGTCGACTCTTTTTAAAGATGTGGATGATAATGGCTTCGTTCCACATTGATGGTACACTCTCTGTCTCCCATACCTTCCTGAACAACCCAGTTAGAGCCATTTTGAGAGTCTCGCCACCATCTTTAAAAAGAGCCGTGGGTAAATTGTCTGGGCCGGGCGCCTTATGGCGTTTCAACACTTGGAGTTCCTTACGAACCTCCGCTTCGATGGGTGGGTCGGTACTAACCGACCAAGTAGCACTGGAGCTAATGACAGTAGACACTGAAGCTGGTGGCCAGCTAAACTGTTTCCCGAAGTGCTCTGCCCAGCGTTCCAGGCGTCTTTTCAAGCTGGTAATTGGCGTGCCATCTGCTTCACAGACCGTCTCGCTGATACCTTGTTTCTTGATGCCGATGGCTCGTTCGATTTGGAACAGCTTCCGACTGTTGCCAGATGCAGCACCTGACTCCATCTCACACGCACGTTCTGACCACCAGGTTTCGCGGTCCTTACGTAAACACTGTCTAATCTTGCACGTGAGCGCCTTTCGCTTATTGTTGTATTCTCTGTCAGCCGGAATGGACCGGCGTTCATCCAGGAGTTGCAAGAACTCGCAGAAACCCAGTGGTTTTTAGCGGAGCATTCTTTCAAGCTGCAAGCGGCTACACTCGCCCTTTTGCATGGCACCTTGCACATGAAGCCAATGTTCATTTATAGTACTTGGGGGGTTGCTGGCAAGCATCGATTGTAACTCATTCTGATATTTCAAAAAAGTAGCAGGTGCTACTAGTTCGCTCACTTCAACGTTTAGACGACGGCTTTTATGAACCCCACCAAATCGCAAGACGAACTTGGAACACACTAACGCATGATCGGAGTCCAGGCATGTGCTCCAGAAGGAGCGACAGTCTTGTGCGTGACATGGCGACGCTGATGCTTGATTACAAGCCTTCAGTTAAGCGAGTCGACTTAAGCGGTGAAGGTCAGAATCCGATGTTGAGTGATAATTTACAGGGTATTCGGCTGAACATCTTGAGAGCTTTTACTAGTCTGAAGCAATAAATGTTGCTTCATAGTTATATTTATGCAGTAAGTTTTGAAGGTAGACATATAAAATTGGATTTTCTTAGTGGCATACATGTCAGTATATGTTAGCCTACTTCATCGGAATTGCTGTGCTTCATTATATCTTGATAGATTTCGTTCAAACTGGTAGGGTGGGCAGGTGGTGGGTGGTACAGTATATCATCACTAGACATTGTAAGAGTCATTTAGTCAAAGATGTGAGATCGTTAATTATGAGTCACTTCGCACGACTACACCTGCAGGCCAAATTTTATCTGGTGATTAACGGGAAGCCTTTCTTATTACACATACTAAGACGTCCAATGAAGCGTAAGTAATCAACGGTCCCTTGTAACTGGTCAACGAAGTTGTCAACGAATCGGACACCCTTTCTAATGGTACTCAGACTGATATCATGGCATCAAATTAGACTCATCTGCATAACTGTTTCTTTTTATTGTACATGGTGGTCTTTGAGAAAAACTAGTTTATGAACATATACATTATGTAAAACTTGGTCAACTCAAAAGGAGGTTTGGACAAAACACGATTCATCTGTTATTCGTACTCTGGTTTAAACACTTCAACTGTTTATAAGAGACACCAAGAAACGGTGCAGCTTATACTGACAAGTCACTTCCATTCACTAACTGTTATCTTATTTGTAGAATACTCCATTCTTCATATTATCACCTTCTTTATTTACATTGCATCGGTTAATGCTTCCTCTTAAATTATTAGCCTGCAGCATTCATCACTCACCATCTGACGCTGACCTTCACCGCTTAAGTCGACTCGCTTAACTGAAGGCTTGTAATCAATCATCATCCGCGTCGCCATGTCACATTCATGCATGCTCCCCAGCTAGCCTTAGCATTCAACACCACGCTACGACGAATTTGACCTCTGAATATATTTCATATTTTGGATGATCAATCTGTTGTTTTGATTTGTCCTTGGTCTATGTGGAATAAATACTGTGGTAGTTGTGGGTGTAGGAACTTGAATTGGTACACATGGTAATTCGTGCCAACGTCATCATTGCCTCATCCCTTAGATGCCTGTTAGGCAATGCGCTCCACCCACGGCCATTCAGTATATTCTGACCTGTCCATCTGTAATACAGACAACGAATTAAGAATTACTTTTGGGATTGGTTAATATGGACCTGTAGGATCCAAGGTCTCAAGGAAGCCGATGATTATTCCTCTGAAGATAAGAATACGGGTTATAGCACTCCTTCGAATGAGTCACAGGTGACAGAACCACTTATCTCAATAGGCTACAACAAATCCGTCCAGAATAAAATGAAACCAAAAATCGGTACAATGTCTTGATTTGCCACTGTCCATTCATATCGGTTTACCCGAAGTGTTTTCATATATGTTGAGAGAAGAACTAAAACAGATATTGTGGCTATTCTTCTCCTTGATGGTGATGAAATACAAGGCTGCTGATAAGGTTTTCCTCGTTCAGGTCTTCTACTGCAGTTAGGCAGTCCAGGTGGATGAATACTGGATTCAGACATCCGACGGATGGAGTACTGGTGGTAAGGGTTAGCGATGACCTCCTCTTAATGCCTTGTGCCAAGATACAGTTTTAGGCCATATTTTATCCTTATCATGGTTATATAGGATAATGTCCATTAATCATCCTCTATAGCTTCAGCTTACTGTGGGCAATGGTGTAGGT